CATCATTTGCCCACCCAGGAGCCTGCCTTGCAGTCAGACAGCAAGGCTGTTCCACTAAGGGACATGGCTTCTTGCAGCGTTAAGAGGTTAAGACGGATTAAACTAAGCCATCAAAACTTTGCAGACTGCAAGTACCTTTCAGATCATCGGACTTTATAAAATAAATTAAGTGTGAAAGGTGAATGTGGACACTTTTATTTATTTCATGCTACTATGAGACTAGGGATGTGGGTTATTTGAATGCTCCGGATTCTGGTACACTTGTGAATTATGGAAACCACTGTAGAATTTTCTCCTAAAATATTCAGTCCAATCTAGTATTTTTATAGGCTGAAGGCCAAAAATTTTGGTACACACAGTAAATTAATAAAACCCATTTCTGACATCATTTTTCTAACGTTTCGATAGCTGAAGTTTTTATTTTAGTTTTATTGGCCTCTTTTCTTCAGAGTCTCATTTCCATTATTCCTTGGAGATTTGCCTATTGTAAATTAAACTTGAACTCTGGGTAACTGATAATTGTTGAGGTGACAGTTTCCAGTAACTGGGTTCTGCTGGGAAACAAGAAATTCCTATGGCTTTTTAAAATAGGTTGACCCTGTGGCTTTGGAAAAATCTTAATTGAAGGCAACTATTTTAGTCTTCAACAAACAGAACAAAACAAAACAGATTAGCAGAAGTCCAGAATTGTAGGATAAAGTTACAAAATAGTGGTATATGGTAAGGAACAAGTTAATAATATATTTTAAATAACCAAACTTGCTGTAAATTAAAAGTTTTCTCCTATCAACTGGGCTGGTCTTGACATCAACGTTAGACTCTTGGAATTAGAATATTCTGTTGAGAGAAAAATGGTTTTTGAAGCAACTGAAGACAAAATTATGTAAATTTGCAACCAGTTATAATGACTTTTAAGAATTTTAACTTTATTAACTATGCCCTCAAATTACTGTTGCTTTTTTAAATACACTTATGCAATTAAGCATGAGTCAAGACAGGAGAAAATTTTCATTCTCTCAGAATTATAGAGTACAGAAAGGTATATATATTAAGTATACTTCATTTTGCCTCAAAAAGTTTGTTCAACTTCATTGGACAAGTCTGCATAACATAAAATAAAAAAATGCAGAATTTACCATGCGATAAGTATAATGAAACTGCCCAAATTTTCCAAAATGCAAGATGACTATCAGCCTAGTTTTGGCTCAGTGTTAAAATGAACAGATTGAATTTGAATGACACCAGAGCTTGTCTTAAATCCATCTGGTAAGAAGTTGAAGCCACTCAACCAGCTATTCACTTTTTTTCATTTAATATTTATTTTCATTTATATTTGAGGCCCTATATTAGGTGCAATAGATAGAAAGAATACTGTTTCAACCCAATCAAAAGTCTATACATTACTACCTCCCCATGTTATTTCTACTAAAGACCTAATCTCCAGCATGATGAAAAATATTTTTAAGTCCATCTAAAACTGTATATGTCTCATATATGACCCTAAAGAGGCCAACATTTTGAAACATGAGCTTAACCAAAATCATCCAGATTAATGGAGGAACATTTAACAGATTTTCTAGAAGCACTTCAGTTATGAGGTTTCTGGTATGCATTTGTTACATGAGTCCAGTAGTGTGATTACAAATGCACTACTGCAGGGCACCTGGGTGGCTCAGTCATTAAGCGTCTGCCTTGGGCTCAAGTCATGATCCCAGGGTTCTGGGATCGAGCCTGCATCGGGCTCCCTGCTCTGCTGGAAGCCTGCTTCTCCCTGTCCTTCTCCTTCTCCCTCTGTGACCTCTCTGGCTCTCATTGTCTCTCAAATAAATAAATAATATCTTTTAAAAAATGCACTACTGGGCATGATAAATTATTCGTCCACAAAAGTTGACTTTGCTTTGATAAGGCATGTTTCAAAGTAAGTAATTTGCTTAATTGAGACTTAAGATGAAATATTTAGCTTGTGTGACTATACATTAAGGATTTTGAGTTATTTTTTATGTCATTTTATTTGTTTTTATATAATACCATGCAAATAGTCTAATAAGAACTCTAAAAATATACATCCTGGAGAATGTAATTTACCATAACTTTTACATGTGCCTACTTCAAGGAATTACTTTATTTTTCTCTTACCCCCAACTAATAGCTAAACAAGAACAGTAAATTTAAAGAAGTGGAAAACATCAGGGGAATAAGGATAGCAATCATCTCTGCAGATTTGGCATTTGGAATTTGAGAGATAGTTCATTCACTATTCCACAGGGTGGCAGTAATACAGCATAGACTAGGAAGAATGAACCTATTTAAAATTCGAAGTGGAAAGTTGAGTGCAAAATCATCTTTTAAATGTCACCAGTTTATTGTGAACATACATTATAACATGTATACTGCAAATGTGTATGAAATAAATGAAATTAAAATTCTTAGTACATAATTAGGTAAAATATGTAAAGCAAAACTAAATGCAACATGAGTATGGCAGTTGGGATTGGAGTAATTTTTATGTTGGTTTTTTTCATTGTTACATAAAGAATTTAAAAGCTAGGGTGCTTTGTATTAAACTTTTTCTGAACCAAGCGTATATTTATAAAATAACTTCAGAAAATTTTAAGCAGTGTATAAAAGCATTAAAATATACACAGTGCGTGTGTGTGTGTGTGCATGCACGCGCACACGCATGCGTGTGTGTGTCTACCAAGAGAAAAACATCTGAGGTATATTAGAAAGATCTTGGAAATATTGTAATGGGAAGGTGGTTGCAGAAATTATTAAAAGGTTGAATTTATAATTCTTAAGATTTTAGTCATCATGGGGAGGAAAATTTCCGAAAAATAGTGTCTAACAACGTCTACACTAAGGCAAATAAAAATTAAGAGGTATAGGTTATAAATTTGTAGTATGGGAATAATTCAATCCGTTAATGCAGCTTTTATTCAAATAGCTGAGGATCTGTGTGGCGAATGAACACAGAAGGAGACACATACACAAACAGTGTTTAGTGTGCTTTAAAATGGTGTACCTCTGCACCCAGCTCTGATTCTGAATTCTTAATTTAGACAACTTCTGAGATCTTCACGTCTGCAAACCTGGGGGGGTTTAAGCAAAACTTTTGGGGTCAAACAAAACGACAAGTATTTTTGTTGTTTGGAGGAGGTTTCTGGTTTTTTTTACTAGTATGTGTTTTGGCTGGGTTGTGTTTATTTGGACTGTTTGATGAATAGCATCAGTCAAAATCACATGGTGTGTGTCTAAGTGTAATCCCTATGTTGGTAGAAATACTTGCCTTTCGAGGACATTGATAGAATAATTCATTTAGTCTTATTTATTTCTCTTTACTGAAAAGTATTTTTGTGGGAAAATATTTTACCAGAACAGTGCTGTGGTAAGAGAGACACTAAGACAAAGCAGTGCTTTAAATTGAAAATTTGAGACACCCTTTCAAATGTTCATTGTGATGGAGATCTCCCACGTGCTTTCTGGAGCATCTGGGTTGTTTCCCTGCCTTTAATTCATGTGACAATTGTTTAAGGTATAGCAGTTAAATTGAATTATCAGTAGGGTGACATACCTGTTTACAAAAGTATTTCCATTTAGGAGTAAGCTCAACTTTGTCAGAGGCAACACTACATTGAAATATGAGCTGTATAGACAGCCCCAAAAATAAATTTTTAGAATTTAAGAAAATGAAATTGTTACATTTTAAGGAATTGGGGGGAGGGGTAGACAGGTGTCGCCAACTTCTGTTAACCTAGAATGAGTCACTTTTCCTTATAAGTTGAGATGATTAAAATTCAGTTGTGTTCTGCAAATGGCTGAGGCAAGCCTGGACAAGTGAAGGGTGGCTCACAGAAAACTTTACAAAGCAACATCGCCAGTGTACGTTTTGGGGCAGGGATTGTTATGAAGTGATCTCTGTGTGGCCAAGACCAGTGGAGGAACAGAAAACAGATGTGAAATCTCTTTGGAGATTTGCGCTCTGCAGTCATGTGCAAAGATGAAAACAGGCGAAACAATTAGAAAATGTCAGTTCAAACAGTCAATCGACATGAATTAGGGAAAAGCTGTTAACATAGTTCAAACCAGAACATGAATTCATGGAAAAGTGATTTTCTGCATGTTTATCTTTAGAAAAGGCTAAAATGTTTAACTTAAAATACTGGTTTACTTAGATTACTAAATTAGTAAAAATCAATATATCCTAAATCGCCATTTTATTAAATATTTGTTGACACAGAATTTATCCTCTACATTCTTGTATTATTATGAAATCACAGTATTTTCATAATTAAGTATAAATGGCTTCTGATAAACATTTACGTTACCATATTTTAAAAATGATCTCAACTGAATTTTTAAAATATTTGCATATTTTATAACACATTAGAAACAGTCGATATTTTGATTGTCTTTAAAAATTCTGGGAGCTTAACATGCGTACTCATGTATCCTAGTTCTGTTTTATAGGAAGTTAGTAACATCATAATCACGTATGTGCATACTAAATATTTTCATGGTGTGAAAGTAGTGAAACTCTCAGTATAATTGCCTTAAACAACTAAAAGCATAATGACCTCCTTTCTTTGTCCATCGTTATAATCACGTATTTATGAAACAGGAATTATTATTTTTACTTACTTTTTGCAGTGACTAAGTATGTGGAAAATATATTTTAACCAGGGGAGACAGGTGAAGTCGGTTGGGCATAAAAGATGCCATTTCTATGAATAGAACCTGAGTCGTGATTCTGACATAGGATCAGGACCCGGTGCTGGGCACCCGAGTGCTGGCTTAAATTTAGTAACTAAAGTCCATGTTGAGAGTAGGTTATGGGGTTTCTCTCTGGTGACTTTCTGAAAGATTGACTGGCCTCGATTTTTTCTTGTCACATTTATCAACTGAGTAGCATGCTTTTATTTGTTTTTTGCTTTAGCTATTTTGTGTTGGCATTCAGTTAAATTTTATGCAGCCTAACAGATCCCTGTGTTTCTATTCACCAGGTACGTGTATTCACATTTTCAGTTGGTCAACATAATTATGACAGAGGACCTATTCAGTGGATGGCCTGTGAAAATAAAGGTAACAGATCTGTTTTCTCGAGCACATTTTAGTACTAAAACAAAATTGATAGTTGTTAGTTCTACATGTTCTCATTTAAGATAAAATTGTAGCTAATGTTTACAGGAATAGAGACAAGAGTATGTGTCTTGTGGCGTACACTGGCGGTGTTGCTTTGTAAAGTTTTCTGTGAGCCACCCTTCACTTGTCCAGGCTTGCCTCAGCCATTTGCAGAACACAACTGAATTTTAATCATCTCAACTTATAAGGAAAAGTGACTCATTCTAGGTTAACAGAAGTTGGCGACACCTGTCTACCCCTCCCCCCAATTCCTTAAAATGTAACAATTTCATTTTCTTAAATTCTTAAATTGGATGTAGTTTCTTTTTTTAAAGATTATTTATATGGGGGGGGTGGTGAATGGCAGAGGGAAGGGGGGGAGAGAGTCTTTTAAGCAGACTCCATGCTGCGCGTGGAGCCCAGTGCAGGCTGGATCTCATGACCCTGGGATCAGGACCTGAACCGAAACCGAGTCAGACACTCAACCAACTGCGCCACCCAGGTGCCCCAAGATGTTGAATGTGTTTTCTGCGGAGAAAACCCACACACAAAACACTTAAAATTATTATGATTACGGTATATAAAAATGCAGACATTTGATCATATGGTGTATGATATCATATATTGATATCATTCGATGCTTTATTTAGAGAGACTTAATGATACTTATCAAATAGAATCTTACCTGAAAAATTAATAATGAAAGAATATCTGAATCACATAAAACTTACATATAAGAAAGTATGACATACAAGTGCATTTTTTCTAAGTGGTTGAATTTTCTTTAAATGTCTTACCCATTCCGAGGTAATTCTGATTTTGTGTAGTGAGCCCATGTTTCCTGTGTACACAGAAAAAAAACAAAAATGTTGTTTGAAAAACTGATCACATAGCAATAAAAGGAACCTCAATTTATTATGAAAGTCATATTTACACAAATATTTTATATAAATATAATTGTCAGATACCCATTATCATGTATCTTTAATAATTTCTCCACTGATAAAAGTGTTTTAAATGAGGCCAGGTTCCCTACTGTTTGGTAGAAAAACCACATTTATTTGATAACAGTTTATAAGAAACACTGAAATTTCTCATAAAGCTTACGCATTTCTTAGGGATATACAGTAATCAAACATTTTCTATATTTATTGGTGGTATTGTTATGTTAGTGTTTGCTCAGAAGTAAAGAAATGCTCTTTTTTCCTCCAAAGACCTAAAATAATTTTGTGGCCATGTATTGTAATGTAATGTGTGTGTGTGTGTGTATACACACACACACACAAAAATATGTATGTGTTTCAGGTTATTATTATGAAATTCCTTCCATTGGAGCAATAAGAATCAATACTCAGGTATGGTTATTTAAATTTTGTTTAAATTATTTTTTCAAAGAACAAGATGTTTCTTTGCTGCTTTAAATATGCTCAATTGGATAAAATAGGTGAAAATGAAAAATGATCCATAATACTGTATTTGTAACAAAATGATGAGTATCATGATGATGTATTGATTGTTATTTCATTAAAGTTCCAAGTGTTTTCAAATATTCAAAACTCAGGTAAAAAACTGTGTATGTTATTCTCAGATGTTAAAAACATCATCGAAAAGAAAATGAAAATTTACTGACAATCTCATTTCATTTAACTTGAACTTGGTTCTATTTCAGATCATTTAAATGAGTTTCTTCAAGTTGCAGGTGTACCACAAAGAAAATTAAGGAATACTTAATCTGGACAAATTATATAGGATTCTAATCAGAATTTAGATTCTAATCAGAAATTAGATATGTCCCAAAAAATCCCTGTAGATCTATTTACCCATGTAAAATAAACTTACAACAAGGAGATGATTTTTCTATAACCATTTATTTTATTTTATTTTTAATTACTGAATTCTTTTTATTTTTTCAAATTTTTATTGAAATTTTAGTTAACATAAAGTGTAATACTGGTTTCAGGAGTAGAGTTTAGTGATTCATCGCTTACATATAACACCCAGTGCTCATCCCAACAAGTGCCCTCCTTAATGCCCATCACCCATTTAACCATTCAGTTTAAAACTTGCCTGTTAAATAACCTTGTAGATCGAAGCAACTAAGTTAATTTAAATGTATATTATTCTTAAGTATTCATAAATAACAATTTAAAATCATTACTCAATTTTAAACATAACTGAGGATCCACAAACTAGACTAAGTCAAAATTGAACATAAATAACATGGCATTTGTGGAACTGAATACTGACTGTGTTTTATGTTGAAATGAAACAGTGCTGCAGTTGACTCTGATGTCTCACTTGGCACAGTATTTCATTTATTTTTGATATGTTTAAATGTAGTTTTGAATTTCAGCCAAACAATCTGTGATATGAAAGCAAGTATGTGGCTGCTTTATTATTTCACATTTGTGTGATTCCATCCAGTAAATCACCAGAGCCTTAAATAGTTTAGATTAACATAAAGCAATTCACAAGGAACGTATTTCACTTATCATTGGCTGTACCTCAAAAAAAGGATGTATTGTTAATAGAAAAAAATTGGGGAAGATATACTGTATAAATAATATGAGTTAAATATTATTGATTCAGAGTATGTAGAGATACCATTTATGGTATATCCAAAATAGGAATTAAATGATTATATATTTACTCTCTTAATAATTTTAATTCCATATTTATTTTTGACTCTAGGTAATTTTCTTCTGTAGAGTTATTTTGTTTTTGTTTTAGTACAGCATTTCTGTTTTTCAACCACTTAAACTTTTTTTTTTTTTTTTTTTAATAAATAGGAATATTTGGATGTTCTGGGTAGACCAATGGTGTTAGCAGGAGACAAAGCTAAGCAAGTTCAATGGACAAATGTGTATCTGGATGCACTGGTAAGAGATTGGCTGTTCAGCCAAAGACTGTCCTAACAAAAGCACATAGCTGTTTCTGCTTCTTCCTAGGTGACATTTATCACTTCCAATTCATTAAACCCTTTCTAAAAGTCCTTCTATCACAACCTTTTTTGCTAGAATTTAAATAACATACATAAAACTTAGACTTGTCTAATCACAAATGTAAAGTGTTACTTTATTTTTTGGGGTGATCTGTTAAGAATGTGGGATTTCAAACCTCAAATCTTGAATTTGTGGCCATTTCAATAACATTATGAATTTTTTTTTTTGTTATTAACATATAATGTATTATTTGTTTCAGAGGTACAGGTCTGTGATTCATCAGTCTTACACAATTCACAGCGCTTACCATAGCACATACCCTCCCCAGCATCCATCACCCAGCCACCGCATCCCTCCCACCCCCGACCACTCCAGCAGCCCTCAAGTTTGTTTCCTGAGATTAAGAGTCTCTTATGGTTTGTCTCCCTCTCTGGTTTCGTCTTGTTTCATTTGAATTTTTATGTAAAAAAAATACTAAAGTCATGTGAATGTATACCTGTTACAGCAGACTTTGAGTAAATTTGAGGAAAGGTTTTTAAAGTAGACCTCAGCTAGCAGAAGCATGCATAACCTCCACAACTCAAGCCAGACCCAACGAGGCTCAGAAGTATGTGCAATTAAATAGGCAAATAATCTTACCCTACTCTGAAATCATCACAAACCTAATAACCTCTTTATATATAATCTCTTCTTTCAAATTCAACCCCAGATTTTTATGGAAATAAGCCATTGAAATGATCAAACGTAGTGCAGTATAACAAAAACATGTCAAGTTGTCCGTTGTACAATTGAAATTTTAATATAGGTATACTTTGATATTTCAAAGCAATGATTCTCAACTGGGGGTGATTTTGCCACTTACAGGTCATCTGGATATATCTCTGGATGTTTTCCCTTGTCGTGACTGGGATGGGGAGGGATTGCTACTGGCATCTCGTGAATAGAGGCCAAGGGTGCTACTAAAAGTGGTACAATACACTGGACAGTCCCCTCACCCCATGCACGTACACACAACAAAGAATTATTCAGCTCAAAATAGCATTAGAGCTTAAGTTCAGATAACTTGTTTAATGTAAGTTTTACTTCCTAGTGTGAAAGTTATAAATAGTAAATATCATACTTAAGATGAGGTGACTTAATTGATGATTTGACTAATGTAATATATCAGAGAGAACCAAAATACTGAGCTCTGAAAAGTAAATGCTGATTCAGTAACCCTTTCTCCTACTTGGAGTACAATTATATGCTGATACTACTTTTCTGAATGCAGCGATGACCCCAAAGGGCAAAATGCAATCCATTTAGAATTACTTATCATTTGGTTCTTGTAAAATAAACATATACAGGAAGTTGGAAGAAAAATAGGCACTATTAACAGCAGCTTTGCATGCTAAGAAAGATAAAGTGAAGCTTGCTTACCTCAAACCCTAGCTAAAATTACTATCCAGTGCTCCTTCTTGACATCACGTATTTATTTAAGGTCACATGGTCATCTAAAGCTATGGTCAAAATGTTTCATTTTTCCAAATCCATCACAGGACAGGGTATGATAGGAGGAGTCAATAATTATGCCCTCTAGGATTTCCTATGACCAAAAGTTCATTAACCAGCATGTCTGCATTGTTGGTAAGGTTCTTACTGATAGCACAGATGATGTGAGGAAGAGGTTTTGGTTCTAAACGTGCTGGTCAGTAAGCTGAAGCTAAATGTAAAACAAGAAAAAAAAGAGTCACAGGAATTGGCTAGTCAGTGGACACATAGAGCATCCTTGTACTAACGAGAATGAAGAGTGACTGTCTTGTATTTCTAATTACATGTCTATAATCTCTGCATGTCGACGATTTACAGTATATGCTGCGCAGTATGTGCTGTGGTTACATTAAGAAAAAAGTGGTAAACATATTCCAAGACAAAATGTAATAAATATAATGAGAAAAATGAAAAGAACTCTGGAAATTCCGAAGAAAGAAGTCATGTATTTGGGGATGGTGTAGGGTGAGGTTAAAAAGATGGTGATTGTTTAGCTGAACGTGTAAGTCCCGGTGAGGTTTCTGCGGTTGGTGGGGAGTGGCGAAACCACACAAAGAGGGTGCAGTATGAATTGAGCAAGTGCTGAGTATGTTGCAAAAATGCTACCTCAGTCATTTTTGGAGCTAATGGGAGATGAGAACAGAAACAAGACTGGGGCAACATTGTGGAAGGTTCCTTTTATTTGGGAGATAAAGTGAGCTTCCTTGGGCAAAAAGAGAGAGATGAAAAGAGAATCAAGAAAATACAAATATCAGATAAATTCCAGGAGAGCAGAAATCATGTCTTATTTCTCTTTTTTGTTTTCTAGACTGGCACAGCGTCTAGGAATAGAGTACAAATTTTTTGTCCTCTTAGTAAATGAGAGAATAGAAATTGGGCACCAGTGAGTTCGTCAATGATCGTGTCTCCTATGTTAGAAGTCTAGTATCTCATTTTAGGGCAGATATTACCATATTTAGAAGCAAATTACCATACTCTATATAAATGCAAATGTGATGTGCAGAAAATGATTGTATCCATATATACTTTATCATATGTCATGCTAGCATTTTAATAAAACTATGCATATACATTGTAACTCAAAAATTTCTCCAGAAGGAATATGTGCTGAATTAGGTTTTGGAAACAAGTTTTATGAATTATCTATAATCTGACTTTATTGAGGTGGAAAGTTTTCATTGCGAATGTGAATTTGCATATTTAAGGATGTTTTCATTGTTGAATATTCTGGCTTAGAACTAAATAGAGAGCCAGCATGTGTATCATCATGCGCCAATTACGTGTAGTTGTTTCCTTAATTGTATTTGTCCCAGTTTCATATCTTGTTCTGCTGAAAGCTTCCGTGTGATTGTCCTTCTTCATTAATTCAGTTCCCATTGTTTTTGGGCTTCCCACATGCGTGATGATGAACTATTGCCTAAGGCATTTTCTCCATGAAGCCATACTGCTTCTGGAATTAGAACAAGGGTCATGAGATTTGGATTTGGGGTCATTATTCACAAGAAGATAACTAATATTTTCTCAGCCTAGCAAATTTGAAATTTTCAGCAATAATTTTAAATCATTTTAAAGTGTGATTCTTTTGAAAATGTAGTTTTGACATGAAATAATGGTAAAAAATATATAATTGCTATAGATAGCAGTAATAAAAAAAAACCAAAACACAACCTCTGACTTGAAAATCACTATTTCAACTAATCTCCATGGATTCATTTAATATCTGAAATTATCTACATGCCGATTAACACTAGGTCATTATTTTTGTTCATGTTTATTTTGCTCCATGACCAGACTGTTGGCTTTGATGCTTGCACTTGGCTACATTATCTGACTTTGTCAAAAAGTACTATTTGTTTTGGAGGGTATTGAGGAGCATTTAGAACAGCATAGTATTTACCTAGACTATTGCAGAAATGCAGTATTGATAGCATGTTTCTTCTATTTATCCTGCTGTACATCTGTGATGTATAATGAAGCCTTTGGCTTAGGGCATGAAAAAATTAAGAATGAAGCTACCAAAAGGAAGGCAGATAAATCCTATGAAACAGTATTTTATTATCGCCCTGCTCATGGAATCCTGTGGTATTAGGTAAACTATCACTGTGAACAGAAGGGTGCAAGGGCAGGGTGACTGAAATATTTAGTGTCATTTGATTTTTTTTTTTTTTTACGTTATTCGCAATGCTCTCTTAGGCTATTATTTTAGATGTCGCATGCTTCAATAGCTGCCTAATGGATTCTGATTATTCACTGATTTTTTTTAATAAAAATAAGTTTTTTTAAAAGCTTTTAAAATTCTTTAATAATTCTTTGTGTCTCTTTATAATGTAACTATAAAATGCAGTGTCAGATACCAGAGTCTAATGCAAAATGCAAAATGACAAAGTTTAATTCTGACTTGCCTTTTCTTTCTGAATCTATTTTTAGGAACTAGGACTTGTCATTACTGGAACTCTTCCGGTCTTCAACATAACGGGCCAAGTTGAAAATAAGACAAACTTAAAGGTTAAAAGTTAATTGATAAAATTAATAATAATAAATGATAAACGGTGACGTTGAAGCTGAGTGTGGATAAGATATTTCTATAAGGAAATACATACAATGTAACTGTCTTGTGAGACCAGAAGTAAGAAGGGACAGCTGCCTATATGATAACCACCTGGGAAAAAGGAAATGCAGGTCAAGTTCTCTGTTTCCCCAGAGCCAGGAGTCAACTTAACTCTATTTAACTATGAACTGATGAGAACACAAGTTCAGACTCTGGAAGGAATTACATGATAAATGGGCAATACTGCGGTGTTCCCCCCCCCCCTTTTTTTAAAATGTGTCTGAGTTATTCTTGGAGCTCAGAAAGAAAAATCCAAAGAACAAAATCATGGTGATGTTTGTAGCCAGTGTATAAAGGTATATTTCTTGAATCATTCCTCCTCCAACTCCCATTCAAACGGTGGGTTTTTGTTTTTTTTTTTTTATCCTCACATAAGCATCTGATTTAAAATGAATAGGTCTCCATTTTTTTTCTATTTTTTAAGATTCAAGAAAAATACTTCATGAGTTTCCTAACAGTGTTGATTTCTGCAGCACTGGTAATATTGTCAATGCAATAAGATACTACCAACTTAAAGTTCTAAAAATCTGTATCTTGTACTTGTTAAATTCCATTCCTTATTTTTCAAATACTCCTGATTTTGAGGGAGCGTTGCATTCTTGTTTTTTAGCTTGCATTAGAAGGAATTTGGGATTGCAGGAGAAATTAAGATTTTTTTAATACTAAGTACTCATTTTATGCTTTGGTTGACATTCCAGATTGGAAGGAACTTTATTTCCACTTTATGGCATAATAAAGTCTACTGCATTTATTTGTTCAGTTATTATAAATTTCAGTTGAACTCTTTATTTTAATAATGTGGCCATCAAAAACATTAGTTATTTCTCTTGGGTAAACCATTATCATTATTAAATATCTGTGGGTTCTAACTAATTTAACCCATAAAGAGTAATTGTCTAACTCCTCAGATGGACTGTCTAAGGAATTGCTTTAATCAGGAATTTCTGCTTAGAGTAGGATTGGTACCTGGCAAAAGAAAATAGTTCTTGTCATAACTTTCTCTCTCCCAGTGTACCTACACAAAATTCACAGTGTTCTCGTAATAACTATTGAGTGGATTTTATAATGTTCTTTGTAACATTTTATTTTGTAATCTATATAATTCTATTTAAAACAAAAATTCCTTATTCTAAGTTTTAATACCATTTTCATCTTTAATGTCCCAGGAAAGATTATGATAGCAGTTTGTCACGTAGCCCTGTTGACTCGGAACTAAAGTTTTGATGCCCATGCCTTGGTATTTAGAAGTTACCAGCCCTGAGAAACAGTTTTGAGGGTTTCTGCTATTTTATTACAGTGGGGTCAGATACTTTTCAGGATAATTACACATATGCAGGCACTGTCAATAGCAAATAAAAACAAAAACAAAACACCATTATTTTCTCATTTCACATTACTGATATCCTCAGGCAGGACATTTTTGTGATTTTTTTTGAATCATAGTACACCACAAAGTCACAGAGTACTCTCAACACAGAGCTACAACTGACTGTACAGAAGCAATTGAAATAAGTATTAGGGATAATGAGTACAAGAGGCATCAGATAAAAATTTCCTTTCTTTTCTATTTTAGCTGCACTTATCAAGATTTCACTTTTTGAAGTTAAATAATAATAGTGATACAGTTGTGGGTAAACAGGTGAGAATCATTGTAGATGGATACAAGTGTCTCACTCTTACACACGTTTTAGCTAGTATGGAATACGCCTGTTGTCAAGCAAAAGGAGGAGCATATATTAATTGTGTAAAATATATGCATTTTTGATATAAAATACACTTCCTGTTTGCTATCTTCTTATAGAACCAGCTGATTCTTGGTGTGATGGGAGTTGATGTGTCTTTGGAAGATATTAAACGACTAACACCACGTTTTACAGTAAGATGAAATTTACTCTTTGGGTATCTTTTTCATTTTAGAGCATTGTACTGATTTAACTTGTCTGTAAAGCGTTTGAGAAATTCTCAAAAATCATGTGCATTTAACTTCACAAAGGAGCTAAACGTCAAAAAGGATCTTAAAATAAAATATAAAGATACCATGTTATCTTTCTTCATGCTTTAAACTGTATTAAGAATTTTTTCTTTCGAAGAATGTGATTTCTGATTGTGATTCAGAGATCTTGAAAGTTTTCTGGTTTTCTTTTCTTTTTTTTTTTTCAGCTGTGCCCCAATGGCTATTATTTTGCGATTGATCCTAATGGTTATGTTCTACTACATCCAAATCTTCAGCCAAAGGTATGTATATAATGTGTTTACAGTGTCTCATGCAATTCTGTAAAGTTAATGGTTAATGTTCTTAATAGGTTTATCATCTTTAAACTCACTATATAGCAGTAAATATATAAGAATGTTATATCTATTATGTTAATGGATGACAAGACCACAATTTATAATATATGAAAGTGTGAAAGCAGTTTTTGTTTTCTCTTACCAATTTAGCTATCCCATATTCCTATCGAATATTTAACTCTCCAGTATTCACACCTCAAAGACAACCATTATCCTCCCGTGCCTAAATTCACACATCCCACCTGGGGTTGTGATTAAGGCTGGAAGGTGGTGAGGACATGGCCCCAGATGGGTGTGAACCTGATAAATAGAAGTATTGTTCCTCTACGCTCAGGCCACATGTTCCGACACTGTTTTTTCTGGTAATTGTCTCTCCTTTTCATCTCCCAGAGGGTTTGTCTTTCTACTTTGGGGCAGGCTTATAGAACTTCAATGAAATTCAGTTAAGTAAAACTCCATGGGATGGGCTTCAGAAATGGGAAGTGTTTATTCATGAGGGAGTTGTGCAAAAGAGATAAAATTCCTTAGGTAAACTATTTTATCCTAATCTTTATGCCAAGATATAAAATATTTTCCTATATATCTCCTCAAACTTATTTCACTGTCCATTAGTGCTTCACAGGTGGAGTGAATATATATTTATCTAGAAGCAAAAAGTGGCAGAATCTTCCTATATTATGTAATTGTAATTTATAAGCATCTTCAAGTTATTGTTTAACTTTGAAGATGATACTGAAGATACTTTAACCCATGCTGGAGGGAAATCTATCTGAATTTAGGCTTACTACCTTCTTTTTCTCAGTCATGGGTATTTAACCTTAGTGATATCTTAGGGCATACACAAGTAGGTGCGTAAACATACACATACATTTAATGTTGAGTCATCTAAATATTCAAATCAATGATAATTAAGAACCATTGATATTGAATACAAAACCATACTAAGTGGTTACAATACAAGTGTTGATTTTAATTCTTCTCACTTTGGAACTTACTTCCATATAAAATCCATCATGATCTAAATGTTAGCTAATCAAATGTAGCTGCTGATCACTCTGCATTATTTTTCAAGCTTTTTTTTTTTATTATAAATGTACTATAGGCATTTCTTCCCATTATTATAAGTCTATCACAGCGTTAAGTTCCTCTTAATAGTTATTTATGATTAGCTAAATGGTCTGTGATTTTGTCACAGTTGAAAATTTTTATCTTTTTAAATCTTAAGATTTTTTAAAAAATTTGCATTATTGTTTGGTCTTTGTGTATACAGTATATTTTCATTGTTATTCCCACAACTGAAGTGATTTAAAAGCAGTAACAATGTTATGTGCTCAAGGGTGTGAAGGATCCCCATTTTTATGATTGTAGTTCTTAAGCCCTTCCCCAAAAGGAACTTTATTATTTAGACAAAAAAATAAAGAATAATGAGAATAATGTACGTAAATATTAAGATATAAATCTATCACTTAGAGGCAGTAATTTGAAAAAGGTTTTCCCCTTTTATACATTCTTCTAATAACCAGTATTTATGGAGAAATTTTTTTTTTACTCTTTGATGTTAACATACGTTTGGCTCAGATTTGGAATAATTTACTAAAACTCATAAAATTACAATGAGAATATAAATTCTATAGAAACTCTTATTACAGCCCAAGTGATTTTTCTTCAGGAGTATGTCAGCTTTTCATATTTTTATACAGGAAATTATTATAAGCAAGTATGCATCAAAGATATTTAGAAAATGCTATTTTATAAAACCATTAAAATATGTTTGAACAATCAATGTGTTCTTTTTTCTGAAACTCATGCTTGTGGATTAAATGTGCTTGTGAATTCTCATCATTAGGTTAAACATGATTTCTATTGTGTGGGTGATGGTACGTACGTGCTATACAGGTAGATAGAAGAACCTCATAAAAGCATGATACAGTGTAAGGCAGTGGTTTTAGAAATTGACAAGTACAAAGGACCGATATAGTAACAGCTAGTGTACTAACAAAATTATTCTCAATCCTTTGATCAGAAATATACCAGTAGAAATGAAGGAAGATAATGCTCTGTTTCCGTAGTATCCCTTATTATTTAACAAGGGCAAAGTTTAGTGTTATTATGAGTATTCTTTGCCGAATGCCTTGTGTTTGCTTCCTGAAACAGTAATCTTAAATTATTTCAGTATAATTTTGTAGTTTGTAGAAGGCAGTATGAGTATCCTTTAAAAAGGCTTTATAACAGGAAATAAAGTGGCTATAAACCTTTTGCTTATCTAATTTTCTAAGGAATCATTACTTATCTTCTTGAAGTGTACTGTCTCTACCATGAGCACATTTTGACAAATACTGGATTATGTATCCTGCTTTGTTTCCAAATACATTTTAAACATCTTCCATTTTGTTTCATAAAAATTACCAGATCAGTATACTTACTAGATACCTAATTTTGGTCAATCTTAAGAAATATTTATTGTACAGGAAATTGTACATAATCTACATTTTAGAAGTCAATATTTAAAATAAGTCTACAAAAATTACAAAAAAAATACAATAAATTTATAGCATTAGGATTCAATTCTCCTTTAGTTCCACAGATACAACATTTGGTAACACTTCAGAAAACAAAGGCACACATTTTACGGGTTTACTATTAACACTTTTCAGGATCCTATAATATTTATATCTGAACACATCTGAATCATGTAAATTCTAAAATTTGCTGGTTTTTCTTTTTTTTGAATCAGCATAAAAGTTGTCTGAGGCAAACTACCTTTCTCACTTCCCAAATATGTATTTCTTTGGAGAAAAATAAAAGGAAAATCTGAAGTCATTTTGCTAACCATTTTTTTTTTTAGTGTCTTTACTAGCATAAATTTTTTTTTCACCACAAATATTTTTAAACTTTCATTTTATTTGTTGACTCATCATGAACTCTGTGATAATCGGTTTCTGATCAAGGAAATATATGATCAAAATTGATTGTAGGATAGAAACCTTTGTTGATATGTAGCATGATGAATTACCATCTTTCTGTTGCTTCAGCCTATTGGTGTAGGTATACCAACAATTAATTTAAGAAAAAGGAGACCCAATGTTCAGGTAACTGTGAATGAAGTTAGCAGTGCCTACAAATTTGCTAAATCAGAGTTGAGATTAAGCTTCTCTTCCTAAAAGCATATGATTAATGCTGCCTTTCCTGACCTCAAGCTTCCAGAGCATGAGTTGGAGATGAGCATCATTTCTCAATAAACTGGAGCAAAAATATTATTAATGATGGCAGAGGGTATGCATTTGCTAAGTCAAGATTGCTAGCAAATTGTGTCATTAATCAGAGCAATCATAATGAGATGGCTTCTAAAAATGAATTTGTTATTAAATATTGTGATATTAGTGTCAAATCCATGTAATCCTAACAGTTGCTTGTAAAATTAACTTCTAAGTGGAAATAAAAATACAATCTGATGTAATTTCTATAAACCATAAAATTTAAGCCAAAATTTCTTTGAATTTCTACAAAGTATTTTGGGATTAGAGGTTAGAGAAATTTCCCTTAAGCTAATTAACATGTCCAGAATTGCAAATAAATGTGAATTTTTATTGCCTGACAAGCTCATGGCAAAATCTTTTCTCTTTTGTTAACAAAATTTATTTATTTATTTATTTATTTATTTATTTTTAATTTTTAAAGATTTTATTTATTTATTTGACAGAGACAGAGCCGAGAGAGGGAACACAAGCAGGGGGAGTGGGAGAGGGAGAAGCAGGCTTCCCGCTGAGCAGGGAGCCCGATGCGGGGTTCGATCCCAGGACTCTGGGATCATGACCTGAGCCAGAGGCAGACGCTTAATGACTGAGCCACTCAGGTGCCCCTGTTAACGAAATTTAAGTGTTATTTTATGTATTCATATTTCTATAATCACACTAAAAATAATCAGAAAGATACTTCTTCCAGTTTAGTATAGTATAGTAAGAGAATTAGTGCAGTAAGACAATTTCAAATTCCAAAGGAAGTTCAGTATGACTTAATGTTTTATATGTAAGTCTATCATTGCTTTAAAGTTAGTGATATTATAATGGAGAGGTAGTATGATAGTAAGAGATTATTAAACTATGACTTAGTAAAACAGAATTTTAAATTAGTTGTACTTATAGCTAATACTGTATCTTTGAGTAGTTCATTAAACCCCATTTTACTTTAATTTCTTAACCTGAAAAGCAGGAAGATTGAACTAAGGACTTTTTTTTTTTTTACCCTACATTGTATATTCCCCCAGGAAATTAAATACACATGTTGATCTCCAGCTCCCTCTCCCGAAAATTCTGATTTAATATGACCAGGGATGGGACCCAGGTTAATGAATAGTATTTCAAGTTTTCCAGGTTCTTCTAAAGTGCAGAGACACTGGATTAAGAAGCTTCAATTTTCTTGTAGCTCTAGAGTTCTGTGCAATCTGATCTTTATATTGTATCAGTCTTCATAGCTTTTATGATTCCTGTAGAGACTAAAATTCTATTTATGTCTTATATTGTTTTATTAAATTGTTTTACATTACTCTCCTTGCATGCTTCTTTTGTGTATTATCTTCAATTATACTTTTTGCATTCATGTACATTTTAGTGAATTTTCATTTTTATAGTACTTTCAAATATTGCATGTAAATATTATGATATAATTTGAAAATAAACAACCTGAAAAATGGTTTGTTTTATTTTTGTTTTCCTTCTAAGGAAACCTCAAATGGCAAACTGGCAACCACACAAGACTTGAATTTGGGGGAGTATTTTTTGAAATAGGTAGTATTTTTCATAATACTACTAAGTATTTCCATTTAAAATTTGTGTAAAAGCATTCTGCCTATTTTAGTTCTACAAATGGTGTGTCTTTATGTCAGCTGATATTAAAATTTTACACGAGGAATGTTAGATACTAAAATATCAAACAAAAGTATTGGGACAGAAGGGACTTGATTCCACTTCTCAAGACTGCTTGGTGCTTTCTTTTTTATTAGAAGATTCTGCTTTTGGATTTTTCAGTCACTGTGCCTGTGATTCGCCTTTTAAAAAATGGTCAGCTAGATTGCCATTTAAAAAGTACAGGTTATGCATTGACATTTTGCTTTTATGATTTCATTTTCTTCTCTGTGTCTTTATATGTTGGATTGGGACATGATCTTCATATTGCCAATTCTTCCTGATAATGCCTCGTCCCCGCATGCTGTTTGGGTCTGGTCATGCTATGCATTATCCATTGCATGTAAGATAATATTCTTATTTATGTTTATATTTTATCATTTTGATTATCTTCACTTTGTTTTGCAGTGAGTGTGTTAATTTTTTATGCTGTTACAGTGTTTGTGTGAAGATGATTTCTTTCAGGGGACTTTAAAGAAGCAGTTCTGAATAATGTCCACTTTAGAGTATCCTTTTGTTAGTGATTTCCTTGGTTTGGTTTCTAAGTAAAGGATTATAATTATTTTTTATATTGATTTTTATTTTCTCCTTATGAAATATGCTACATTTCAAATGAACATTTGCTTCTGAGGCAATATGTTGCTGTCCAAACAATGGTCAGTATTATCATCTATTAAACAATCTAATACTTTCAATATTCTAGAACCTTCTGATTCCAGATATCAAGCTCATGAGCAGCGAATATTTTGTTAATAAAAGTGCCAGACACAGTTGGGATGATTTTTTCATTTGCCTTTAAGAATACCCATTTATCAAAACATGGGAATCATAAACTTTCATTATTTAAATGGAGTTATTCCTTGAAGGAAGGAATTTTTTTCTTAATTATAAAACACATGCCATATACAATGTCGTTCAGCATTTGAAATAAGTGTTTAGTTTTAACATATTTTTAATTATTACTGTTTTGGGTAGTCAGTCCTTCTAAAACAGTGTTTAAAATAGTAATAATCTGATTCACTTGGTGGTTTAAGAAAATTAAAAATTAAAAAAAATAGTGATAATCTGAACATATTTTGGAATAGCCCATGAAGCTGAAATCCTTAAAATTCCAGTGACCTTGCACTAATACAGATTAATTTGTATTTATTACTTCTATCTCATTAAATACCACATTTTGGTGGTATTTATTTTAGTCAACATTAAAAACCCGGTTTCCAAAATTAAGTAGTTGTAAAACTGTAGATGCCTATTAGGATTTTATTATTGTAATAAACTTTGATATTTTATTATGTCATGTTCTCTTACTTAGCGGTGTTATAAGAGCATTCGGTGTGTTTTGTTTATCAAATAATTGAGTAAGTTCATTTTATGATTGACAAAATTTTTTTTAAATGTTATCTGAGGTAAATTAGCCAGGCTAACAGTTTTGATATATTTATGTAAAAATAAGAACCTGCCTTGTTCCCCAGTTAATTGTCCTTATTATTGCACACCAGCAAGAAGAAGCAGTAGGAGATGTTAAAGCAGGAGACTCTTTAGTGAACCCAAGGGTTATTATTTTAATTAGATTTTTATTACAATAGCTTATCTTTACTCAAGTGCTTGTGACTTGACCACAAATTTTATCTCATAAAATTTACTTAATTTAACATATTAAAATATAATGTCACATTTCTGAAATTCAAATATTTGAAGCACACCTAGATTTTTTTTATGCATCTTATGAAGACTGTGTTTAGAAGAGTTAGTTTTACTTAGCAAATTCAAACATAGTTTTTAAAAGATTTCCCTCATATAATTTATTTTTATAGAATATAGTGTGTATTACGTATATGTTGCTTTTGTCTAATTGCCAGATATGTTATCCACATGGCTTTATTTTGCTCGTTTCCCATCCTAATTGAAGGAAAGAAAGTTGTGAGTGGACCCTCAATTGTCCTATTCCCACAGAACTTATAATTTTAAAATGTAGTATCTAACACAGCATTTGAAATGAAACTGCCTTCAGTTGGTGGTAAATTAAAAATTTCCCGTTACACCTAAAGCTCAGATCCCTAGCCTATTTATTGTTATTTTAAAATAAATGTATATGAAACCTGTATATGTTTAGGTAGCTATTTAATATACCTTAGGTAAGTAACATCTATGGAATTATCTTCATATTTGAATATATATTAAATTATTTTTATGCAGCATCATTTTACATTGTCGTATATGCTTAATTATTATTATTTTCTGTGTAGAACCCCAAATCTCAGGAGCCAGTAACTTTGGATTTCCTTGATGCAGAATTAGAGAATGACATTAAGGTGGAGGTGAGTGTATACCTAAACAGTACTCTCAGGTCAGATGCCGAGTCTCATCCATTCCACAAATGCACTGAGCAGCTTCACTGTGTTAGCTTCTGTCCTAGGTACTATGTACACAGTGATGAATGTTCTTGGCCTTTAAAATTTCTAGATCCTGGGTTCTCTCATCCAAATAGTCATATGGAAAGGAATCAATATTTTAAGTTGGGCATGACGTTAGTTTGTTTCTCATTCCATAGGTAGGGATGTTTTATGTATTTCAGTACAAATGGAACTTGTACATTTCACTACACAACATAGAGATTGAGGACATTGCTATAGAGTTGAAAGAAAAGTTGGAAGGAATCTAACCATCCAACCACCCAATAAGCAACATGCGGAGAAAAGCTGCCGTTTTTTTCTTAGTACACTTAACCCAGAAAATTTCTATTTTATTTCAGAACCAAAATCGCATGTCATTTCCTCTGAGAGGATCTTCCATGATAATTAAAAATAACATTTATTAAGTACATAATATGTGTCAATCATGGATTCTCAAGAGCCTTTGAAATAGATACTATTATTATACGATCATTACTTGTCGTACTGATGGTATGTTTTAGGTCCAGAGGGGTTAAACAGCTTGTGTCAATTATTCAGCCAGGATGTAGCAGGACTAGAATTTGAACCAGGCTCTTGCAGTTCAGAGCAAAGATTTTTAAGATTGTTGTAAACGGATTAACTTCTCATCCATGCAAAGGCCACCGTATTTTTCAGAATTTGTCACAGTGTGTTTTAATATGCACTTGCTTTACACATTTTACACATTGACTCCCTCCTTGTAGAACAACAGAATTTAATTATTATTACTACCCAAGGCCAAGGCACAGTGCTGGGATGTCATAGGTGTTTAACGAATGTTTGTTATAAATTGTTTTGAAATGATAGAGCAGGATCATGTAATGTTGCTGAGCTCAGTCTTTGGACCCTCGTGCTGCTGAGTGACTGTAATATAACCTATTATGGTTCAGTTTCCTTTCAATCAGTCTCATCAAGTAATTGACCACTCTTTCATTAATTATATTTCAAAAATTAATGACTAGGTGAAGATACTTAATTAAGGATACCTTTATTATTTTAAAACATGTTAAAATGACTATAATGTGGTAACTTTTAAAAGAATATTACCAAAGAACAACTACAACTACTAGTACAACCATGCTATTTTTATTCAGTCTGTTCTAAAGTAGCTATAACCTTTGCAAGCTATAAACCTTGCAAACCCAGTACTTTAATAATCATCCTTTCGTAGTCAATTGAATACTTGAAACAAATCACTTTTTGCATCTTCCTGTAGATTCGAAATAAAATGATCGACGGAGAGAATGGAGAAAAAACATTTAGAACTCTGGTTAAATCTCAAGATGAGGTAAGAATTAAGTCAAGCTTACTCTTAAATAAAATGTATAGATCAATAATGATATTGGTAGTTTGTCTTTCCTATTAAAGCAGTATTTGTAAAACAGATGTCTCAAGTAAACATATGTTTTTAAGGCCTTCTTTGCTGAAGGATATTTTTAATATATTTGTAACTCTTTAATTTTTGTAAAACATTTTGCTTTAGGTTTCTTGATGTTTTACATTATTAACAGATGTTCTTGAAAATTATATTTTATGTCTCCATTTTTTATCATCATAGAAAATAGAGCACCCAATTAAATGTTGTGGCATGTTCTTTTAGGCCATTTCAGTCATGCAGAATTGAAGTTAATATTTAATAGTTATATGTGTTAAATTTGTGCATGCATATGTTCTAATTGTTGAGTTTCATATATTGGTTTGGGTTTTTTTGGTTGTTTGTTTACTTTTGTTTAGCTTATCTTCCTTCACTATTTATGTACATTGTTATAATTCCTTGCATTTAAATCTGAAATTAAGGGGTAACACAATTATACCCATAAATTGTTGGTACAAATATATAATAAACATATTTTATATTGAGGAAGACCTCTGTCTACGAGCAGCGTGTCTATCCATTATCAGTCGCATGTGGAGTAAATAGACAGACATTCATATATTTGAGTGTTTGAAAAATACATGGAATCCAGAGGCTTTGGAGCCTGGAAATTTTAAATGTTTTTATATAACTTATATCCTTTCTCTCACAGTGCCATGCTTTTTAAATGTATACATTTCTTTTGAATTCCTCAGCAGATCTTTTTCTAAGATGGAGCTAGGCTCCAAATAGGATCCTTCATTAGCACTTGGCTTTTCTCATGTAATATCATTAGGAGTTCCCATTACCAGAAGACAGGAGGAGGTGTGTGTGTGTGTGTGTGTGTGTGTGTGTGTGTGTGTGTGTGTGTG